TTGCACTTGCCGAGGTCTGTTGATAACTTCATGCCTTCTTATAGAATTCAATGTTTGAATTGTCATGGAAGTGAATATACTGCAAAAAAGGGAAAAAACCCTTAGCCTGTACGTTTTACTACCCGAGCCACACCCTTAGCACCAACGCCTCTCACTCCGGTCTTAAAATCAACATTCTCATATAGTTTAGTTAACATTAGAACTCAAGTTTGAATTTCAACAAAATGTTTCCGTACAATAAATATTTATGTTTTTACTCTTTTCGTCACTTCAATATAGCCTTTTACCTACTTTCTGATTGAACACGTTTAATCACGGAGATTTGTTAGTAGACAATTTCTTGTAAATAGACCTCGTTTCTAACATTTTGATTTTGATCGTAGTGCCTTACCTTAGCTTTTCACATTCACTCTTTTCATATGATTCTAAAACGAAACGCACCATTTTGACAAATACAAGTGTCTGTCCTATGGTTATTTGATAACTTGTCAAGTGTTCATTATGCCAAAAAATATTTTCTCATAGTTTTATTTACAATACCTTGTCATCAAGGACGTGTGCTACTGTTTTCATACATTTATATAGCCAGGACGTTTTTTTTCAAAGTGTTAATGGTTAGTGCGCAGGAAAAAGTCAAAATAAGTTAAAAACTTTGTATTTTTTCATAAATCATAAATTTGTTCATTTCTTTATTTGCCTATGGAAAAAAAATTTAAAAAATCCCCTTGGCCCACTTGTATTTGTATAAATATTGTTCGGACTTTATCGGTAACCTTTAAGTTTTAAAAACAGACGAAGAGGTCTTCTTTATAATTAAGATAGCTGTAATATTCTATCCTAAACTGTTTTCATTATCAATTATTTGTCCAATCACAATTATAATAGTCATGAAATACATTACTAACTGAACTCAATTTGACAAAAATGCTTATTAAGTCACTTTAACCGTGAAGTATGATAAAAAGAAATAAAATGTAAACAAATATGTGTTATAATGGTATTATCTTCTTTGTTGGTACAGTAATTTGCAATTAAAACCCAAACAAAAAAACAAAAACTTTTCCATCTACATGATCATTTTTCATGTCAGCAAAAAAGTTTTTCATCTATAATTTCAGACCACTCGCTCCATGGGTTGTGAATGAGAATGCAATTCTTAAAACCTGCCGTGTATTTAAAAAAATATGTACACACATGTTCTACACTTATCTTGAGGCGTGAAGTTAATAAAATCCAATTTCAATTTTGCTCTGCCTTCCTCTTTTTTATAGACAATATTTCTAATTAGTCATGAGTCTAGTTGATGTTTGACAAGTTTCCTTTCTTCTTATTTTATGATGCAAGCTATTGTTGATATATACTTCCTTTTTGCTCATAAGGAAAACACTTAAACATATATTTGCCGTTTTCTCTTTCATTTTGTTATAGTATGATAAGATATTTTAATGGATTAATTGAAATTAAACCGAATGGATAATATTTGTGTGTTGCTAACTTTATTTCTTATTTTACCAACAAGCGGTAACTATTATTTGTTTTTTTTTCTTATTATATAATATTCCTAGTCATATTTCTCTTTTTTTAGTCTTATGCTATCGCCAACAAGTCAAGATATGATAATACTTTCGACACTTGTGTGTGCTTTTTTTGTACCATTCATTAGCAGAGTGATTTTTCTTAAGATTTTGATGCAGCGGGGCGGGGGGAATTTGAAGTTACCAAAAGACCGCAACTGATAAAGGTCCTAGGTGTATACCAGACAGAGCCTATAACTACTGTGACTTAAGGGTTATGTAAATCTTATGTCAAAAGAACAGACTTGACTGTATATTGAATCGTTAGTTATATATAAAATTTATGTCAGACGGATGACTAATCTTCATTTGTTATTGTTATGATGACCAGTATGTGATGTCGTATTTTGCCTAGCGGTGCACCAGAGAAAACACAAAAATAAGTTGTTTTTTTTTCTGGCGCCCCTCGGAGCGAATTTAAGGAATAGCACAAATCAGCCAACAAAGATGAAAATGAAAAACGTGTAAGATTCCTTTTAGTATCCTATTTATAAAGTGTTTTGAAACAGATAAAACAAAGTCATACATATAATATTTAAAGAATACAAATACTACTTGAATAAAGATTATTTATCAAAAGGGTCGACAAGTTAATCACATAATATTGTTCATTGAAATAAGAGGGTTAAAAGTTAACGAAATCATTTAGACAATACAGAACATTTCGAGTCATCTGTGAATGATGAATGCGTCTTGAAGAAAGGTTTTCGAGAGATCGTTATAGTCTTTGTTCTAATTTTACAACTCATAAGAAGGTCTAAATTTGAATATTTTTGACTGTTTTGTTTCGTACAATGTATTAAACATCGTTTTTGTCGCGTCTTTGTTGGTATACGAATAAATAGGTGGATGAGGCGCTAATAAGAAACAATTAAAATCTTTGAACAGCCACATTTAGTCCTGCTTCGACCTTTAAACTTTTTATATCCTTATATTTTTTAATTATTTTGGAAAAGGTCTGTTTTCGCTATAATATAACATGTATAATGTGCAAACGGAAAACTGGTAAAATCAGTTACTAAAGAAAACCTAACCTATCAGGGGATTTTTGCTTGATTCATAAAAGCTTTGTGTGACATGCGTGAAGTCACCTGCAAACCTACTGAAAAGGAGCAGGGAAAGAATATCGTCTATTTAACGCTGATTCATGAAACAAGAAACGCCATGGTCACCTCAACATCAGACCTCTGGTACACGTATGATGTGAAACATCTATATATTTATCACTTGCATTCATGTTGGAAGAATTGAGTCACTATTTCTATCATTTTTACATATTAAAAAAAGAGAATATATATACTGTTACGTGCCAGGCGTAACGAGAAAGAAAAGCCAGCAACAAACTTGTAACAATAACAAATTTATTACAGAAAAATTATTAAAGAAAAATAAAATAACAAATTATGTTTACAAATACCTGAAGTCCAAATAAAAATGTAAATTTCAAATATCTAGTCTGATCCTGGAATGATCCTTTTTTTTGAATAGCACAGTTAAATCCAAGTAAAATCCAAGAACACTTTAGAATAAATTCCCACAATAAAATCCACAAGAATAATTTAAACTATTTTCAAAAAAATCCAAGCTCCAATAAATCACTTAATATCCAAGTTGAATAATACTCCAAATATATTGATGTCTTAAAAGGTAACTGATGACTTAAAAGATCACTGATGATTTAAAAGATAATACGAATAAAAAATGTCTCCTATATATATTAAGCTAAGAAGTTTCTAGAATAGTCTTTCATTTTCTACAATAATCATAATCTAGCAACTTCAACAATAAAGATCATTCCGGAAATTTCTATCTAATTATAATGCATGAGTTTTCTACAATAGTTAAGAAAGTTCTAGTACATACATGTAGTTTATGTTCTAAAAATAGAATAATGATAATATTGGAAATACCAACTTGTCAGATATAAATTATATACATGTAATATGATGCATACATAACAATACGATCAATATATATGGAAGAATCCAACAATTGGTACTTACAGTCAAGTAACCAGTTCCGGTGCAGGTCCAGTTTCGGTGTCTTCAATGTCGTATTCATTGAAATATTTCTGACATTTGTACTTTTGTTGATGGTATTGTGCAATGTGTGTCTAACCATCTGTTAGCATATCAAGCATATCATTTTCTTATGAATTGCCGGTTTTAGAATCAGAACAGGTCCTGTGCCGAAACTGGAAAGCTACGATAGTTTTGCAAATATGCTTCTGGAAAAAAGCAATGAAATAAAAAAAATCGATACTGGTCGCTTCGGTAATTGAAGGGGGAAATCTAATGGATGAGACATCAAATTCGCTTAGTTTGTTGCTCACAAATAACAAATAATAGTAATAAGTCATAACGTTCAAAGAAAGTACCGATGACTCATGTTTGTCATTTTTTCCCTCAATACATTCATTACATTTGTGACTAGCACGTCAAAAACGAAATTCCGTGACAGGAGATATGACACAATACGTTGTCAACTGTTAACGGGAACTGTTAGTAAATATATAAGTAGGAGGATGTAAATCTTAAACGCATTTATTTTAATATATATATAATATTATATATAAATAAGTCATTCAAGAATACGATAACACCTTGTGAAAACAGAACTTAAACTTTACGAGGGCTGTCAAATCAGTTTGCATCACAGTTCCGTCATGAAAAATCTATAGAAGATATATAAGTTCTTTCTATAAATACAGGATTTATTTTCATCGAGTGGTATGAAAATAAATATTATATGAGTGGCGGTAGCCACGATTAAAATTATATAATTTCCATACCAAAAGATGAAATAAATCCTGTATTGACAGAAAAAACTTGAATTTTCTGTTTATTTTATACATTTTTTAAATTATAATTTGAAAGATATTTAACTTTAGTATATTGGATGAATTTAGAAGAACGTAGTCCGGCGAGACACCAGTGAAAATACGGAAAATATGTTTCACTGCAGTAAAAAAATAAGATTTTACAGTAAAAATACAGAAAATTAAAATATGCATTTTATTTCATCAATATTTCTCAGAATTCTATTTCAAAGTATATAATAAAATACACTATTTGCATTTTTGAGAAAACATGTATTTACCATTGAAACATATGATTAAATGGCAAAATTAACGCAAACTTTGTCATTTATAAATTTATATTTAAGCATATAAACGACTTTTTGTCGACAAGTTGTTCCTTATTTCAAAGCAGATCTTGAATCAAAAGCATGATTTTCCGCGAATCGTTGACAAGTGTATTCTATATCATTCATACAAAATTTTGACATCTTACAGCAGGCATGATTTACTAGAACAATTGCAGAGAAAAAGTAAGCAAAAATGACACAATTTGATGTTCTTGTGAAACGAACTGTCAAAAAGTGATGCGTATCTCTTTGAATTTCATCATCAAATGAGAAATAGAAATGACATTGTCAGGGCTATTAAGAGAACAAAAAGCTGAAATTTGTAAATAACGTAAATTTCAAAAGTAATAGAAATAAAGAAATAAAGAAAAAACAACTGACTTGAATTCATTCAAATAACCAATCACGAAATATCGTCTCTAAATTTTTTGTTTCATTTTTTGTCTGGAAAATACACTTTTTTCCATATGTAAAACTGCTCTTGATGACATTTGGGCATATTTAAGCATCCTACGAGCAATTACTGCCTAATGCAATATGAAAACTTGAAAAGCATTGACAGTAATCAGCCCGAAAAATAAGTAAACAACCAAACGTTCGTAAGACCGTATTTCAACAAATGATTTTAAAATTCCTAGCCGCTGAATCAATCTGAATTAAATACCGTGATGCACCAGAATACTGTTTTAAAAGCTCATTGATGAAATAAAATTTCATCTAACACACAAAAAAAAACAATATCCTCTATAAAATCATTCATTGTACAAACTGCAAATGCAGTCGATGAAAAAAAAATGTTTTAGATAATTGACCAATGAATAATTTTTTGAAAATTATAAAAGTATACCAAAAGAAAAAAAAAGCTTTTGAGAAATAAAAAGGATAATCTTTGTGTAGCATAATGTGCTTTTTAAGATATGATACAGTTGTAATTTTAAAAGAATGATCTGGAAAATTGAGGGGAACAAATAGAATAAAACTATAAGGTCATTTTACTTAGAAATAGGAATTTATTCTTAAGTATATAAAAGTATGTTGTATTTTTTCAGCAGAGGCAAAGTGCAATAATCAAAATGGCGTAAACAGATTTGGTGATAACTGCGGATTTATGTGTCATTGCAACGGCAATATAGAGTGTGACGTAGTTACCGGTGACTGTTCATCTGGATGTGCACGTGGTTGGTATGGACCCGGGTGTCAGTACAGTAAGTTTGTGTTGCAATGATTTTACTCATTTTAATTTAATGATTCAGGATTCTGAAAGATATATTTTACTGTTCACCAGAACAGATTTAACAATATTATAGTTAGGAAATTATTGTAGATACTTCTGCTTTTTATCTTGAAAATAAAAGATTTAACATTCCATGTTCATTTGTTTGTTTGTTTCATTTTACGCCTTTTCCCAACAGTATTTCAGTCATATAGGCTGGTAGTTTCCTAGCCATCGTTCCTGGAGAGTTACGCCAGTACTAGACTACCTTCCTCTGCGCTAAACTACCAAAGCATCTCCCGGGGATCGAACCAACGCCAGAGAAGTCATCGACTCTAACCCCCTCGACCACGTAGGGGGTAACATTCCATGTTCATGCTTTATTACTTTAGCAGCTTACTTTGACAATAGTTCTTTAAATGCATATGTTCAAGTGATGTTAAGTATATCTTTTGAAAAGGCTTTGACAAAATTTCTGTTTGTTTTATTTTTCTACCATTTTGCCATATATATTTTAATCCTTTTTGTTACGCAAAGTTTTAACATTACTAGTATGCTAAGGGGAGAATAAATAAATCGCATACACTAAATCATTATAACTGTAGTAATTGCTAAAGAAACCTCAGAAGCAAAGTGTGGTTCCGGTAACTGACCAATTAGTAAATTTCTTGACAATATCAAAAGATAAATGATGAAAAGCTTCTGAGAATTTTTTGGGTAAAATGATCCTCTAAATATTATTAAAGCTTTGTTCTTCTGGCTGCTGTGATGTTGTTTTTTCTTCTGTTGTTGTCATCATCGCCTTTGGTTTTGACAGTACATGTAGAATAATCTTTACGTATTTACTTATGATTGAAATATTATATTTATTTTCTTGCAACAATTGAAAAAAAATCATATTTTAATTATAAACATTTGTATCTTAAAAGATAAAGTTCAGTATGTACGATATGAAACCATCAATTTGTTTTGTCATTTTGTTTTTAATCCAAAATTTCATATTTGAAAAAAATAATGATTTTCTAAATTTGTGATCTACAGATTGTTCTTTACTTTTTATGTCAGTTACACATTTGTATACCGAAAAATGTTTTTATTGTGTTTTTTTTTCAATCAGGGGATATCTTAGAGAACAAGTATTCAAAATTCTCAGATACCAGTGACAGTCTGTTGATAACTGACGGTGATCCAAACACATGTTCCCAGCAAGTTAAGAGAAGTAGAAAAAATAATCTGTTTTGGAGTGTGCGATTAGATTCTAATGAAACAATAAACGAAATACAGATTGTTACTACCGACAAATCTTTAGGTAAACAAACATTTAAATATGTGTATCTTTATTTACTTCTATGAAGTACGAAAAAACTTTTAAAGACAGAAGCTTTTATTATTTCTAATAAGGTTTTCGACATCGACATTCATGTAAAATTGTGTTTACTTAATAAAATGTCTGTAAATAGTTCAGTAAGATAGTAAGACCATTTGAAGTCGCAATTCTGTTATTTTAGTTTTTTAATAAATTATGCAAAATTTAAACTAGAAAATCGAACGAAAAGGGAAATTGTTAGGAGTTAATGTATATGTAATTATACACATTTATTTCCATATATACATTATCGCTTTTGTAAACTTACTTATTGATTCGAATAGACCCTTTTATGACGCGGTCCATTGCTATGAAAAATCGATTGGAAAAAGTATTTTATCGCACACGCGCATTCTGCGCAGGGCAAAAGAGCATCGCTTTTCATAGAAATGTTGTGGAAGTTGATAGACAATTGCAAGGTAAAAAGTAGAAAAAAAATATGAAAAGACTTTTTACAAAGACACAAAAGATACCTTTATAGCTTTGTGGCCAAGTACACCATAAAATGACATGGGAAAATGAGAGTTTAATAAAAATACATTCTCGTCTTTAAGTAAAATATTTCTCTTGCAGAAATTAAAAGAAATCTTAAAAATTGTTACTGATAAAGTCCACTGAGGTTTTGTGGCAAGACGGGGATTAACATTTTTCACAAGATTTGTGTACAAAATTATTAAGGTCTGACCAATAACTTGTCAGCAAATATTCAACTAATTCCCCCACCCTATATATATCGTATATTCTTTGTTATCATTTGAAGATTTTTGTTTTTTAGCTCACCTGAGCAATGCTCAGGGTGAGCTATTGTGATCGCCCTGTGTCCGTCGTGCGTCGTCGTGCGTCGTGCGTCGTCAACTTTTCACATAAACAACATCTCCTCTGAAACCAATGACTGCACATCAACCAAACTTTACAGAAATGATCCTTGGGTGGTCCCCTTTCAAAGTTGTTCAAATGGTTCCGGTCTGTTGCATATGTAGGTCACAGGGCCAGAAAAGGATTTCAAAAAACACAAAATTAAAAAATCTTCTTGTCTGAAAGTACATGGGCCAGAGCTTTGATTTTTGGTATATGGTATCATCTATGGGTCCTCTACCAAAGTTGTTCAAATTTTGTCCCTAGTGTCAAAATTGGCCCCGCCCCGGGGGGTCATAGGTTTTTCCTTATATGTCTATAGGTAAATCTAAAAAAATCTTCTTCTCTGATTTGGCAAAGGCTACAGATTAGATATTTGGCATGAAACATTGTGTAGTAGACCTCTATCAAGATTGTTCAAATAATGGCCCTAGGGTCAAAATTGGCCCCGCCCTGGGGGGTCATTGATTTTCATTACATACATATAGTGAAAACTTGAAAAATCCTCTGGTCTGAAAGTAAATGGCCTAGAGCTTTGATATTTGGTCTATGGTATCATCTGAAGGTCCAATACCAAAGTTGCACAAATTTTGTCCCTAGTGTCAAAATTGGCCCCGCCCCGGGGGGTCATAGGTTTTTCTAATATATATATATAGTAAAACATAAAAAATCTTCTTCTCTGAATTGGCAAAGGCTACAGGTAAGATATTTGGCATGAAACATTGTGTGGTAGACCTCTACCAAGATTGTTCAAATAATGGCCCTCGGTCAAAATTGGCCCCGCCCTCGGGGGTCATTGATTTTCATTATATACATATAGTGAAAACTTGAAAAATCTTCTGGTCTGAAAGTAAATGGCCTAGAGCTTTGATATTTGGTCTATGGTATCATCTATAGGTCCAAAACCAAAGTTGTTCAAATTTTGTTCCTAGAATTATAATCGGCCCCGCCCTGGGGGTCATTGATTTTCCCTATATGTATATAGTAAAAACTTAAAAAATCTTCTTTTAAAGAACCCAAAGAGCTAGAGCTAAGATATTTAGCATGAAACATCTTCTAATGGGTGTCTACCAAGTTTGTTCAAATAAAAGCCCTGGGGTCAAAATTGGCCCCGCCCCAGGGGGTCATTGATTTTCCCAATATGCATATAGTAAAAACTTAAAAAATTTTCTTTTAAAGAATGCAAAGAGCTAGAGCTAAGATATTTAGCACGAAACATGTTCTAATGGATGTCTACCATGTTCGTTCAAATAAGAGCCCTGGGGTCAAAATTGGCCCCGCCCCGGGGTCATTCATTCATTCATTAGCTAGACTTTTTTTTTATATGTATATATATATAATATATACATAATATGTATACATATATATATATATATATATATATATATATATAAATATATATATATACATAGATATATATATATATACATATACATATACATAAAAATCTTCTTTTAAAATAACCTAGACCTTAGATGTTTAGCATGAAACATCTTCTAATGGGTGTCAACCAAGTTTGTTCAAATAAAAGCCCTGGGGTTAAACTGGCCCCGCTCCGGGGGCCTATATACAGGTGAGCGACTTTGGGCCATCATGGCCCTCTTGTCATTTTAAGTGTTTCATGTGACATTTGTTAGATTCTCATTTTGTATGTTTTCCTTTGGACCTCAGTAGTTTCTTTAAATAAAAGAACGAACAAACTACGTATGGAAAGCTGCGTTCCTAATTTCATGCAAAGTTATGGTCCTTTCTAGACACATAAGCGGCCAGTTTTTTAATGACACTACATTGTACTGTGTCCACTAATATTGTGTAGGATTTAAAGCATACATCTCATCTTTTTGTGAAGTAAAGACATGTTTATTTTATATTTACAAAAAACATTTGTAACAATTTTCAATATGTTCATATATCAAATTTGAGCATAGCTTTAAAAATTCTAACTCGCCGATAAAGATAATTGTTGCGCAAAATGTTGAATAGATCTATTAGCAAGAAAATATGTCAACTAAACTGTTGTTGAAATAGTTCATTTAAAACTCAAAGATTTTATACCGTATGAAATCAAGATTATTTATCATTCTGAAAAACATGTCGGAACACGTGATAACGTACTTTTATTTTTTAGATAACCTGATTTTATTTTTATTCGACTTGACTTTAATGCCAAACGGAAAAGTTTTAAGCTGCCACATAAATATGTTTATACATGTATAATGTTTCAAAATCTTGAGAAGTTAAAACATTTATCCAGTTTCTCGTAACACGTGTAAATGAACGTCACACTATTTGTCACTTTATTAAATTAATAAACAATGATAAGACTGGTATGTGCAAAAGTTCCTTAAGTAACGATTATCATAATTGTACGTAATTTACGTCCCGGTTTAATTATAATCGTAAACTAGATTAAAATCAAACGGTCACGTGTCAATATGTTTGACACCTGCCGCCTTACAATCCATATTATCAAAGGGAGTGAACAACAATACCAATTGTGTAATATATTACTGCATTTAATACACTTTTACCGGTTCTTTATCAAATTAAACAATTCTGAACTTATGGTTAACCTTTTATAATTCATCAAATTGTTTTTGAAGTTGTTGAGAATTTATTAAATGTGGTCTTTTGTTGTTGTTTTTGTTGTTGTTGTTGTTGTTGTTGTTTTTGCCTATGCATCATCCCTAACTAAAGAAAAATCGTTGCGTAAAATGGTCCATTTCATTGTTTTGTTTTATTTTCAATAACAATTTTATCTTCAAAACATTACCATAAGCAAGTCTGTTATTTTTTTGCAAACATGAAAAGAACTGTTTATTTATATTTTCAGCTTATTTCAAGCAATTTGAAGTTTTTGTTGAATATATTCCATCATCAGGAAGCGATGAAACTTTTAAACAAACGTGTTTCAGACAAGGTGTTGATATTCCAAAATCAACAATGTTTACAGTTTTATGTGATAAGCCTGTCATTGGAAATTATGTAAAAATTGAGTTTGCAGAATTGCAAAACGAATTAGTACTTTGTGATGTGAAAATAAACGGAGGTATATACATTAGTTAACATATATGTTCTTGATAATATATTCTTGTGTCATTTACCAATTCAGATTCAATTTATCATATCAATGAAACACACTTAGTACATTTAGCTTACTAATGAATCTCAAAAATGTTTTCATGTCGTTAATGGAAAAAAATCACATCAAAGGTTTATAAGTATATTTTATAAGTGACTTCCTACAAACACAATTGTGCGATATAAAGAATAGATGCTTTACAACAGAATATAAGAATTTACATAACCGCATTTTTAAAAAAAAACTATTTATCGAAAGATATTAAGATTATATATGCCATTTTTCATTATGTTTATCAGGTAGAAATTTAGCATTTAAGCGGACAGTTTCACAGGTATCAAGGACACCAAGTTGTGGTCTTACATTCTGCAATGCTGAAGCGTCTGTCAACGGACTGACACGAGAATCTAGTTATTGGCATTGTAGTTATACAGCAACAGAAGAAAATCCTTGGTGGAAAGTGGATATTGGTCATCAAATGAAAATATGGAGCGTTCAGATAATATCTTTTATAGGTATTAAACACGGAAATTATAGAAATAGAAATATAGTTCAAACTATAAACTGTTTTAAATTAAATATTGAATATTAGATCAAACATATATTGCATGTTTAGTCCTCCGTTAATGTTAACTTGTGTGGGCAATTTTATGTAAGCATGTCTTTTACTGGTCTCTTCATGTGGTTATATTTTCTAATGTGACCTGTCACAAAGTGACAAGGTGAGCTATTAGCAACACAATTCGCCAGGCGTCCGTCCTTCTGTCTTCCTTCCTCCCGTGGTAACCTTTAAAAATTGTTTAAAGAATTTAATTCCATTCAGAATTCTGGTTGCCATGGCAACGGAAAAACCTTCTTCTTTTGAAAAAGCGAAAGAGCTAGAGCTGAGATATTTAGCATGAAACATATCTTCTAGCTGGTGTCTACCAGGTATTTGTTGTGATTGATTTTCATAATATGTATAAAGTAAAATCATGAAAAAGTCTGCTTCTAAAAAAGCCGAACACGAACAGTTGAGATATTTAGCATGAAACATCTTATAGTGGATATCTACCAACTTTATTCAAATAAAATCCCTGGGTCAAAATTGGCCCCGCCCAATGGTGTTCATTGATTTTCATTACAGAAAAACTAAAAAACAAAAACTTAAAAAAAAAACATTAAAAGAGCTAGAGCTTAGATATTTAGCCTATAATATTTTCAAGTGAGTGTCTACCATGTTTGTTCAAATAAAAATCCCTGGGGTTAAAACTGACCCCATCCCAGGGGGTCATTGATTTTCCTTTTCGTATGTTTATAGGAAAAACAAACAAATAAATGGTCATGTAAGAGCTAAAGCTTAGTTATTTGGCATGAAAGATTTTCTAAAAGGCGTCGAGAAAATTTCACTGCGGCTGATCACGTGACCAAAACATACAATGGGCTCATAAAATGGCGGCTTAAACGCTCGGTAAAAGCAGTGAAATTGAGGTAAGCATATTAACGTTAAATTGATATGTAAAACTAAACCGCACGGAACCCCTGTATAAAAACCACGTACTGTTCTGTAATTGGTTACTTTGTAGCTTTCTCTATTTAGGCCTAAGTTGTTTTGGATGATGAGTACAATGGCCGTACATGTACTAAAATGCGTTGTTTTCAGTAAAAGAAACGTATTTTGAGCAAAATTAGCAATGAGATATTGTGCACAATTGCATGTTTGCCCGTCATGAACAATTTCCATCCTTTGTAAAATTGCATAACGAAGTTGTGCATCTTTTTCAAAATGATTACAATGGTCGAACCAAATTTAATGAATACAATGGCCGAATTATTTTGCCTGTCCTATTTCGTCATTTTCTTCATTAAATTATGCTTGTTTCTCGCTTCCTGTCTTTAAAATCATACAATTATTTCAGACGCAGAAAAGGTGGTTCCTTTAAATAAAAAGCATGTTTGCGTATACCTATGGAATATATACATGTAATGTAAACCGGTATTTCAGATTTTAATATTGTGCTTATATTATCATTAAATACTTTATCACACCGTATTAAATAGTTCAATATGTTTTCAGGAATTGGAAATTTCTTATAAGTTTATTTGCCGGCATTATGGCAAATCGTATTATTATTTACATGTAACCATTTCTTTGTGTTCTTTCTATCTTAGACACTCAAGCCGTATGTAGAAATATCAGACAGCTATGTACGTCATGTATAATATGCAATTTACAAACCGATGTCTTTGCAATTTTCCGAAACTTAGAAACCATGTCCCACAGCATGTACGGGGTACCTTCCCCTTGTGTACCTGCTCGTGACGACATGAAGCTGATCGTCTTCTATACGATTTGCCATAATGCGATCAAATAAACACATCAGAATTTCCGATTACTGTAAAGATATTGAATTACTTAATATGGTGTGATAAAGTATTTAACGATAATATAAGCACAACATTAAAATTCAAAATATACAGTACATGCATATATATTCCATAGATATAGGTTAACATGCTTTTCATTTAAATGAACACCTTTTTCTGCGACTGAAATACAAAAAAAAACAACAATAACAACTGACTTTATTTCCTAAATAATTGTCAAAATGGTATGACATTTTATGTCTGTAATTGAAACAAATATTTTGCTGGTGAAATAAATTCTATATAATGTACATGTTTGTATTTTTTTGTATTGTAAATACCATTAAGCTCATGTACACGTATTATCAAAGCAGAATATTATTACAAATGAGAATGTATAGAAGCAAACTAAATTCATTTAATTTAAAGATTCTGTTACACAATTCTATATGTTTTTAAATTATAAATATGATGCTCAAATTAAGATTTATCAATATTGTAGGTTCTAAAAAGCATTATTTATAAAGATATTACCGAATTTAACATTTCATGTAAATAAAGGGAAGTAATAAAAAATAATTTTTCTTAACGTTTAAGTCAAATTTTACAATAAAAATGAATGCATTTATTTTAATGATTACATATAATATGCACAAATATTTGCAGTACATATTTTACATATTCTTCGATGTTTGAAAATTGTTTTATTTGCATAATTATGTACATAAATGTAATTTCACTTAGTGTAGTTTACCACTGGGTCCTCTGTGGCCGAGTGATTAAAGTCGCTGACTTGAGAGCACAGGTCCCTCACCGCTGTAGGTTCGATCCTCACTCAGGTCGAAATCTTTCATGTGAGGAAGCCATCAATCTGGCTTACGGAAAGTCGGTGATTCTACCCCTGTGCCCGCTCGTGACTGAAATAATGCCCGGAGGGTCACCTGGGGTCTTCCTCCACCAATAAAGCTGGGGAAAAAATCGACGAAAAAATCTCGGCAGACGCTCTAGGATGGCCCGACTTGAGTGTACGGTCGCCCAAATGGGCTTTCCGGCGGAGACCTTAAATAAAGGCATTAAAAAAAAGGTTATCACTTTGATCACAACATACAGGATCTTTAATACTCCTTTCTACTTTTCACTTTCAAATATTAAATTTGTATGATTTCAAAGACAGGAAGCTAGAAACAAGCATAATTTAATGAAAAAAATGACAAAATAGGACAGGCAATACAATTGTTCGGCCATTGTATTCATTAAACTTGGTATTGTACTCGTTTTTTAAAAGATGCAAAACTTCGTTCTGCAACTTTACAAAGGATGGAAATTGTTCATGACAGACAAACTTGAAATTGTACACAAGATGTCATTGCTAATTCTGCTCAAAAATGCGTTTTTTTTAACTGAAAACAACGCATTTTAGTACCTGTTCGGCGATTGTACTCATAACCAAAAACAACTTTTTCGATTTTCAGGCCAAAACAGAGAGATCTACAGAGTAACCAATTGCGGCTTAGTTTAACATATAAATTTAACGTTATCTGTATGCTTACCTAGACTTTCCTTATATGTAAATGTACATGTATATAATAAAAACGTTAAAAAATCTTCTCTTAATCTACCAGAGCTAAAGCTTATTTTCCATATCAGTCAATGACTTCATAGCAGCCATTTAAAGCAACCAGTGCATTTACCATTGAATTTCATAGAAACGACTTCCAAGGAAACCGTTTAGTTTGTATGGCAACATGAACAACATATAGTACTATTGTTTTTCCCTTAGCAATAGTAACCATTATTTAAAGTGTTTACATATGCACATTTTCAGATATACAAATATGAACTTTGTGTTATCAGTTCATGATTTAGATTTTGTATCTGCTAACAATATTACTCTTTCCTTGTCATAGAGAACATCTTTATTCACGTGAGCGATATTAAGACCATCATTGCTCTCTTGTTTTGTGATAGAATACCCTTAAAGCTGCACGCCTCCAGATGAGCGAAAATATTTCAATAAAATCAAACTTGAGACAAATGTATTAAGATTTTAGGAAAAGTGTAAAGATTCAAAGATCTAGTAATAATCTACATGTTATGTGCGATTAATGACCGATTTGTCAGTAGTAAAAACTAAATTTCTACTGCGTTACTAACGCAGTAAGGGCTATTTTTGCATATTTTGTCCTCTTTTTAGTAATTTACGTGGATTGTAAGTGACATTGATAGTGTGTAAATTGCTTCCTTTTGGTTATTTTACTGAATAATACTTTTAAACACATTTTCAAAATTTTCATGAAAATTAGCATGAATCTGGTAACGTGCCGCTTTAAATGCAGCTTACGTAAAGAAAATTTAAGTATTTGTCTTGAAGGAAATAAATACAACAATAAATCATAAATGCTTATTGCAAATGTTCTTAACATGCATATTATTGAATTATTTTCAGATACGTATCATAAAAACTTACCATATACTGTGGACATAACAAATGATACTTATGACCCTATTTCATACAACACAAACGAACTTTCACTTGATACACAAACTGTTGCATTAAATTTGATTGGCAAGTTTGTAACGATATCAATAAACGGGGAAGGTAAATTAGCAGTCTGTGAAGTTTCTGTTTTTGGAGGTAATGTCTTTTGAAATGTGATATTTCAGCTTTGACATGTATAATTCCACATGAAATACCTACAATGCAAAGCTTTAAGAAATATAAGTAATGAATGCTTTTCAGTACCTCTGTTTTCATGTTTTTTATACATATGTTTTTTTCATATAACGGAAGATTTGGTTGTTTTGTTGCTTTCATCTTATTGTTTTGTTTGCGTTTTTGTCAGGCTGGCACTGTAAGATTATATTGTGACATTATAGTTTTTCTGGTTCAGATGTCACTTCAAATAAATTTTTGACTCAAATTGGTTCCTTAGTAGAATATCCAATTTTCTGCAAGCCAGCTTGATAGTTCTCCAATTAACTGAATGTAACTGATATGATTACACAAACAGCGGTGTAGTGGGTTATTTAAAGTCAGATGAGCTATTTAATTGAGATGGAGTGAAAACGTTGTACAGTTTTAATAAAACGCATTTGACAAAACAAGAGTGAGATTAACTCAAAATATTTCATTCTGCATCATTTGTTTGCCAGATTGTCCAGACAATAGGTGTGGGTATAATTGCGAGAAAGAATGTCATTGTAAGCACGCAACTATCTGGGAGAAAATTTCTGGAAATTGTTCAATCAGCTGCAACAAAAAGGACAAAGATGATCAATGTAATACAAGTTAGTAAAACTAAAATAAATTATAATAAAAATAGCGAGCTCGCAGACCAAGCTTAACGGTAACGCGAGTACCTGCTAAGTGATGGTTTTGAAACTTTTCGTCCGAAGTACCGAATAAGACACATCGCAACTTTTCGAATTACAAGATAACGATAAAAGCCGATGTACTCTGATTGAAAACGGAGGCGTAGACTGGTATCCTGCGCACTTATAAAGGAATCATAATAAAAAGGGGGAACCAGAATAAATGGAAGCAGTGTATAAAGTACCGAATGACAATTTTAAAACGGAAAATGTAAAATAAAAATGAACGATTATTTTAAACTATCTGACACTGAAAATTTCATTGATAGGTATAGAATTCTATATATTTTTAATTGTATTTTATTTGATTTTCTTTTAAATATACGCGTGTAGTCTATAGCCGGGCAAGCCCCCTAAATAATGAGAACAATCTGGATATTATCATGTACAATGTAATAACTGTTGATGTTTGTCCGATTAAATTGAGAATGCACAAATAAACAAACAGGCCTCACAAATAATTATTGAATGCAAACGTTCCGGCTAGAAGACTTTATCAGTGCATTACATAATGAAATTACCGGAAGCAACGTCATAACGAAACTCGCTTTAATCGCGCGAAAAGCGTGATGTCGCTTTGCATTAAAGGGGGCAGGGGACCTAAAAATGAAAAAATTTATATTTCAGTGTGACCAGAAACACAATTCCAAATATTTCAAAATCTGTTTCACAGGCAGATAACCTGTTGCACAGCATTATTCAATGATATATGACATACATTGAAGAAAATAATAGTTTCCATGCATTGCTCCTTCAAAAAATGACTGACAGCTATTTATGTTTACCCCACCCAGCCAAAATCACACCTAAAATATACCAATATGGGCAATCTTTATGAAGGTGCAGCATATTCCAGAATCCGCCCGATTCCTTTAAAAATATCAGTAACACGCAGTGCAAGCTATGGCATTTTCAGAAATGACGAATATAGTGTCTGTCATACGTTTAGATTTTCCACAAAATTTATCTGAAATTTCTTACTTGTTTGGCGGCAACTGTCAAAGCTTGATTTTTAACTTTTTCACCTCCATTCGGAGAGTCAGAAATACATACAAAGCTACCAAAATGCTTAGTTTCGCGTAAAAAACCAAACATACTTCTCATTTCCTACACACAAACAAGAAAGAATTACAATGACAGAGAAATATCAGAAGTTATCAGTACCTTCAAAACACCATGTCTGAGTTACTAAAAAATTTGACCGGGGCCATCATTCGAATATGTCCCCTGCCCCCTAAAATATGATAATATGTAGAAACAAATATTTTTATTTTAAATGAAGCTGGTAAATGAATTAAAAGGGATCAATAGTGATTAAGATGCAAATTAGGCACTGCTTACAAAAAGGAGAACACAGACAAACTCCCCTGAAATACTGACTGCAATGTTATTTAAAAATAGATGTGAAAAAGACAAATGTAAGTATGATTAAATTGAATTGAAATCTAAGAAAAAAATAAACAGAAAAAAATAAGTAAACTAATACATTTTTTGATATTTGAAAAACCACGCCGCCTACTCTCTACAGCATTTTTACTATGAATTTTGACAGTTGACAATAGTCTAACAATTTGTATAGAATCATAAAAACAAAGAATAAAGGAAATCAGATGTTGTTAAACTATCTAAACCTTTTCGTTTCTTTAATAAAATGATGAACATGATGAAATAAAAGCATGTTTTAAGAATTATTTCAAGTATTTATACCAACAAGTAACTTTTGCGTACTGAGAGGGTAACATTCTCATGAATTCCTAAAAAGTTTTATCTTCTGATGATTATATTTGTTGGCATTGAAATGAAACGTGTTCAGCGTCCTCTATTAAAGCACCGCATTCACAAGCTTGGTTTTGTATAATACTAATACGAAACTTTTTATACAGCAAACAATGTTTATAACCCATACAAGTTCTACTGTACAGTGTGAACAAAAAATATAGAAGGAAAAAAAGCAAACAACAAAATCCATTGTTTACATTATGAATTATACAGTTATCAGAAGAGATTGTTTAATGAAATAGTATTCGGAAAAAAAGTATCATGATTATAGAATGATGAAAACACATGTAAATGTATCATTACACATCTAAAACCCTTTTGAAATATAAACAATATTTGCGTGATTCTAATAAAACAAAATCACACAATTCTTCTTTTATTTGAAACGTAAACAAAATAGCTAAATTCAATCAATCTTTTGTGGAGTTTGTTGACATGAGAGCCCTAAATTTATTTAAAAACGGCCACTGGCAGTTATAGCGTTTAAAATATTTATTTCCAAAATCTCTGAATTGTGGACATACCATCATAAAATGATATTCATTTTCGACCTTTGACATATAACATGATTAACAAAGTCTTTGTCCCCTTGGGATATTATAGTATCTACTGGTTTCGATATATAGATTATGAAAGGACATGCGAAGTATGGATAATGTATTTCTTAATTTATAATCAGAAATCACCGAAAGATATTTTTCACGGTCAAAGTTATGTTTAAAATGCAATATGTCTGGAGTCGACTGGAATTATTAATGTTTGCATACCATTTTTGTAAATAGTTATCTGCGATTCTTTGTTTAATAACAGAAAAGGGAATATCATTTTCATTAAACATATAGAAATCCAAATTCTGATATGAACATTTTTTATTTGAAACGCCCAGTTATTTCCTCCATACGTTATATTGGAATTAGCACCTGCTTTAAGTAGTAAATAAGTTTTCTTCACTAAAGACGGCTCTTCTTGTTTAACTATTTTAACTCAATATTTAATCATAGTTATTTTGCGATATATAGATTATGGGTAACGTCTTAATTCCCAAAAAATTGCTCATAAATTTGTTGATTTTTTCACCCCTAAAACCCTACGCAGAAATTGCGTATGAATTGCTTCAACAGCTGTAGAGTCATGGTTTCCCAAAATATCTGCACAAAAATTAAAAATAGATCCGACAAGCGAATTAAACAGCTTACACTTTTGAGAAATAGGTAACTCTATCTCAGTAAAAATTGAGAACAGGCAATGTAGTGCATACGATGCATGTTAAGCTATTTTCTTATGACTTCTGAACCAATTTTCGTTTTTAAAAAGGGTTAAACCCAAATATTTGAATGTTTCAACAACCGCAATTTTTGTATTATAGATGAAAACAAGATTGCATTTGAGAAAATACTATACCACCGCATGGTTCATATTTTATAGCTGTACATCAAAGGACAAGAAATTAGGTCACATCATCAAAATCTAGGTCAAAGTTCAATTTTACAACTAAAACTGTGCACATGGTCAAAATGTCATTGCTGTACATCAAAGGACAAGAAAGTAGGTCACTGTCCCCTTGGGCAAGGCATAATTTTGACCCAAGGGTTTAATAACAATCTTGATACAGGTCCACCAAACAATATTTCAAGTCAAATATCTAAGCTTTAGCTTTTTCCCATTCAGAAAACATTTGTTTTATTTTCTGTTTTTACTAAGTGTACATAATGAGAATCACTGCCCCTGGGCAGTGCCAATTTTTGACATTTGAACAACTTTGGTAGAGGACCTATAGATGATATTATATATCAAACATCAAAGCTCTATGCCTTGAACCTTCAGATAATCTTTTTTTCACTATTTGTACATAATGAAAATCAATGACCCCCGGGGCGGAACCAATTTTGACCCCAGGGCTATAATTTGAACAATCTTGCTAGAGGTTCACTACACAATGTTTCATGCAAAATATCTTAACTTTATCCTTTGTAAATTTAGAGAAGATGATTTTTTAAGTTTTAACTATATACATATAGGATAAACCTATGGCTCACAGGGGCGGGGCTAATTTTGACACAAGAGGCAAAATTTGAATAACTTTGGTAGAGTACCTTTAGATGATATTATTTAACAAATATTAAAGCTCTAAGCCTTGTACCTTCAGACAATAAGATTTTTTATTTTTTACTATATGTATATATTGAAATCAATGACCCCCAGGGCGGGGACAATTTTGACCCCAGGGCTATAATTTGAACAATCTTGCTAGAGTTTTACAACACAATGTTTCATGCAAAATATCAATGACCCCTGGGGCTGGCCGATTTTGACCCCAGGGCTATAATTTGAACAATCTGGGTAAGATAATATCTAAGCTCTTAGCCTTTTGGGTCTTTACAAGAAGGTGTTTTAAGTTTTTAATATATGTACATAGTGAAAATCAATGACCCCCGGGGCGGGGCGCATTTTGACCCCAGGGCTATAATTTGAACAATCTTGTTAGAGGTCTACCAGACAATGCCTTATGCAAAATATCTAAGCTCTAGGCCTTTTGGGTCTTTACAAGAAGATTTTTTAAATTTATTCTTATTATTCATTTCGGTTGCCATGGCAACCAGATTTCTGCATGGAATGAAATTCTTTGAACAACTTTGGAAGCCCTTCACCCAAGGAACAATCCTGCCAAGTTTGGTTGAAATTGGACTAGTGGTTTTTCACTATATAATCTATATAACACACGCAAACATACATACACACAGGTGAATCGCTATATGCCACCGCATCGCAGATGCTGCGGTGGCATTAAAATCATACTGTGTATGATGACGTCCTTTCTCAAAACCCATTGCCTTAGTTTTTGATGTATTGATTTTCAGTTTCCACCTTGTTCAATAATTTTCAACATCTTTAAGCATAGATTGTAATGATGTCGGCGACTTTACAAACAGAACCTGGTCGTCGGCAAAAAAGGATTGAAAATAGTTTGAACTCGTTTACAGTAAATAAACCATCTAAATTTGTATTAATGATATCGATAATGTCATTCGCGAATAGCTAGCATGAACAGCAGGAAAAGCTGGAGTCTCCTTGCTTCAAGCCCAGGTTCGAGTCGAAAAATTCCGCAAATTTGCCATTAAATTAAACAACGATATAAC